CCTCCTTGATCAAGAGGACAGGTGACCCACCATGATTACAGGACATTTTGAGAGATGTGCATAGTCCCCTGGAAGTAGTCGACCTAGGAGGGTGAGGAGCAAAAACTGTCTTTTATGTCCCTCTGACCAAATTAGTATAGGTCTCAAAGTATGTCTGTTAAATATCCAAGAAGATTAGTTCCACCCATCTGGTACTTTTAATTACTGTGTGTCATGTAGATAAATCTTGGGCAAAGACCAGTTGTTCTCAGATAAACCTTACCTAGACATATATTTCTTGATCTGCTATGTATAATTTGTCAGTAGGTTGTAGGAGTAATATGGTTCCCCCTGGTTTTCAAAACTAGCTAGGCATTGTTTATCTCTCGCATTGTCTCACCCCTCCATCGTGGTTTTCCCATTTAAGGTGCCCCCATTTCCCCTTACTAATACCCTTCTCTTACAGTCCTACCTCTCTTGAGCTCCTTCTTTCCCTTTACCCCCTAGGTTCCTTGTATACCCTTCCCTCCCCCCTCCCTTAAACTAACCCAATTTTTATCCATATCTCCCTTATTAAGGCCTGTTTCCTACTGTTCTTCTCGTTCAGGTTCTTTCTTTTCCTTTACCTTCCTGTTTCCTTTCCATTATCCTGGTTCCTGTAGTTATGTCTGGTTACATACTCACTTATCAGGGTTTGGCTCTAGGATCCACATATGAGGGAGAACATATGTCGATATTTTTTCTGAGTCTATGTTACTTCACTTAGTATAACAGTTTCTAGGTCCATCCATTTACCTGCAAATTTCATGATTTCATCTTTCTTTACTGCTGAGAAAGCTTTTTAAGATGTATTTATTTTTGAAAAAAATATTTTAATTTTATGTGTATGAGTGTATTGCCTGCATGTATGTAAGTGCACCCTGTCATGCAATACCCACGGAGGTCAGAAGAGAGTATAGGATCCCATGGAACTGGAGTTACAGACAATTGTTAGCCGCCATGTAGGTGCTGGGAATCAAACCCGGGTCTTCTGCAAGAACAGTCAGTGTTCTTAACCACTGAGCCATCTCTTTAGCCCAGTAAGTTTTATTTTTAAATTTGACTATGTGCTTGGGGAGTATGAGTATGTCCACACGAGTTCAGTGCCTGAGGAGGACAGAAGAAGGTGTCGATTCCCTTGGAGCTGGAGTTACAAATGTCCATGAGCAGCCCAACTTAGGTATTGGGAACCCAATTCTGGTCCATTACAAGAACATCAAGAACTTTTAACTGCTGGGCCAATTTCTCCCTCCAGTTGTTATCTTTTCATTTAAAGTTTTATTCTTCTTCAGAACACTTTAGTAATTTACATTTCCTTAAGGATATTGCCCTTAATATAAACTGATTTAACATGAAGATTTTTGTAGTATGTTTTCAAAAATTATATTTATTTATTTATTTATTTATTTATTTATT